AATAAATACCTTTTCCAGTTTTACAAACAACATTATACAGTATTATAAAACATGTATCAGACCAGTACACGTTGCATCATATTTACTCGCTCTCTGCCCTTTCGCGGAAATGTAAGATGCATTTTAAAACTCTTATCCGAAGTCCCTACGAGTCATTGCACGAGAAAAACGCCTGTTTGCCACAGAAGCATGCTCAATGAATTTTTCAGATTTGACTGTGACTAGTCTCATCTTGTAGAGCATATGTGGAAACCTATACATCCAAATTTTCATCTTCTCCTGACTTTTAGTCTCAGAGTTATAGACGGTTTTCTGAAGACCTCTCGACGAAAAATTCAGTATCCAATTTGCTGAATTGATTGAAATTTGATTTCCACTGACTGTAAATCAGCCATTACGTGAGTTGCATTGTCCTAGTTATTCTAAACTGTATTTTAGTGTATTTATTTGAGAAAAATAACTTTTGACTGTTTTAGATTAAAGCTGATGCATAAAACTGCACCAGATTAAGTGGCGCATTTCTTATGTAAAAAACATATGCATCATAACAGAAATAGCATGTATAAAACTCAATCAAATAATTTAAACTTCAGTCGATCTACGGAAGGAATGAAAATTTTTGTTCATCATTTTTTTCTTACACCATCACACTACGAAATACTCTTCCTTTAAAGCTGAGGACAATTTTTCAGTGTAACACTTTTGGGACGGTAGTTTTGCAACATTTTCAGTTACTTCAACGAAATACATCACTCAGGGAGATTGACATAACAACTGACATCGACTTTCATCAGATGAGAGGGAAGTTTTCAGTCTTGAACAATGACTTATTCAGAAGGTATTTGATTACTACAGGAAAGCTATATGAGTGCGGAGGATCTGAGACAATAAAACATTTCTTTCTTTCTTGTGCTTACTATCGTTCATCATCAATTATTCAAATTGTTAAAGCATCTATATTTTTCATTCTTACCTTTTTTCCAACGGCTGAATTTTCTAAAGCTAAAGTTTTTATCTTTACTACAAATACCTGGTAACATTTGGACAGGATGTAAGTTTACACCATACGCCAACGACAAACGTAGCTTAAATTAAATTAATTAACAGTGGAACACAAAACTAGTCACTAACTGCCAGCTCTTGCGTTTCTCTATTGCCGCTTATTCATAGGCAAGTTATATGAATCTCGTAGGTTTCCAACTTGATCCATTACTACTATCGGCGCCAAAATTTAAGGTAGGTTGGCGTTTCTTCAATAACTCGAAGCCGATGATAGGCAAAGAGCTGTGCTTTTCACTAATGGAAGGAGTTCACTGTACCCAATCTTTTCACAAGCGAAAACTGTAGTTGAAAAAATTCGAAGACCGGTTTCTCAGTGAATATTTGGAAAGCCTCTTCATATCGCTAAAACCTTATATAATGATATTTTTTTCATAGATATATAGCTTAACATGTCTTCTAAAGATTTCGATCTAAGCGAATTCTAACTTTTGCTTGGTTTGGCCTAGAAAACCGGATTTTCGAGGACACGTCTATCTCCAAATCTCCTATCCCGAGCCGTTATTTTAAACAATGATAAACTAGTTCGAAGTTATCGTCCTATTATCTTAAATGTCAGTAAAGTTTTGCAGGAGCTTATGTTTAACGAACCCGCTAGCCGTTTAAACAAAAATAACTTTTTCTATAATTTGTATTTTGGTTTTCGTCCTAAATCACCAGTTGTCGATGCTCTTTCATTTGTGAAAAGTCGATATGAATACGAAATTAGACCAGATTTTTTATATTCTAAATAAGTACTTTTTTCTTCGTACTAACTTTATTTATTCCAAACGTTTCGATTAATAGTTCAATGTTCCTTAGTAGATACAAACATTAATTAAATTAATTAAAATTACATAAACAAAACAATTTGAAGCGAAAACTTCAACATAGGGATATTTTTTCCTTTTTTTTTTTATATAATATATACAGTCGATAATTACAAAAAAAAACTGTAGTTTGACAAGCATATTTAACATGATTCCCGGCATTTATGAACCGTTGGCATATGCTAGCCGAATTCTGTTAATAGATAATTTTTTCATGTTCCATATCCCGTTAGAACTAAGAAAGTGGATGTCGTGTCTCGAAATAATATGCACATGACATGGACTATTTCTAGAAGCAGCGTGAAAGCAGAGAAAAAAGAAATAATTGGACAATTCTTCAGCAGAAAGTTCTGGACGAACTTTGCTCAGCTGTTCAGAAGGATACATCTCCGCCGATGATAGGAAAGCAAAAAAGTTCGGTTTTATTTGTCTATGAATTGTACTAGAGATATTACGTTGATAGCAGCCATTTTCACGGTGCTTCTAGAAATAGTCCATGTCATGTGCATATGTTCAACCTTTTAAAGAAGCTGTACTTCTTATTAGTTTTTGCGTATGTTAAGTACAACTTGGTGTACTCTTTCTAACCATACTATTGGATTTGATTTATCAGTTAAAATTGACCATGTAATTGAAAGTTTTCTGAAAGAATCACTAAAGAACAAGAGAATCTACTTGTTTCATCAAGCCAAATCATGTTCAATTTCAGTGCTATTGGTATTATTTCGAGACACGACATCCACTTTCTTAGTTTTAACGGGATATGGAACATGAAAAAATTATCTATTAACAGAATTCGGCTAGCATATGCTAACGGTTCATAAATGCTGGGAATCATGCATTTTCGAAGTAAAATATTCCTGAGAAAACCCCAAATAAAATGGAAAAGGTAGACAATAGTTAATATTAGAATGAAATATAAAAACTGGAGGTTTTGGACGCTTTAGATGATGAGAAAATATGATTTTTCATTAGGAGGTCTATAATTATGTTACAGGCATTTTCCAGTTTTCTCCATTTTTTTCGTCAAAGAACAAAAGATAAAAGAGAGATGCTAGGCATCAGATAGTACATAATTAGTCTTACATAGCCGTGCCACTAGCAGATTAATATCATTCCTTATTGCAATAAAATAAACATTTTACTATGTACATGTTATGGGGGTCTATAATTATGATATACCCTGTATATCGCGCTATTTACCATAATGATATAGTAATCATTTTTATAAAAGGAGGAGAACATCAGAATTTTTGGGGTTTTAAATCATTTTATCATGCATAATTACCATTGAATAATCAGCTCTGATGCATTTGAAAAAAAATTAGAAGTTTTTTTACATACTCTTGAGATGGATGTTTTTCAGTTTCATGGCGAATGACTGAAGTCGCTAACCCATCTAGATGTCCGAGCAATCCATTATTAAAATAGTCTGGTAGTTGTTCGACAGGATTTTTCTCATTGGACAAATATAAAAAATTTCAAATTGGAAAAAACACTTATTACTGGTACTTTACCTAACAAAATTAAATTTTAGAATTTCTGTTTTTGATGACAAGAATGTTCAAGATGAGCACAGTGTTTCAACGGATCTGTCAGTTAATATCAAAAATCTGCCATTCCCGTTATTCTATACTTTTATATCATGATTAGAAGACTCTGACTCTGGTGGACAAGAATCTGCCATCAGAATATCGCCAGTCCTTGTTAAGTCGGGTGCACTTAAGGCTCTAGTCCTTTCGTTTTCTTTAGTATTTAGTTTTCTATTTTTTGTCTTACCTCTCTTCACATATGTGTACGCGTGATCTTTTAGTATCATACTGACTGTAGTTTACTTTTCGTCTCTCTATTTTCTTTTTTCTATTTCGTCTATTTTATTTCGTTCATCTATTGTTTTTTTTCTCGTCCAGTTGTGATCACTATTATTCTAGGTCTGTATATTGCATCATCCTTAACTATCTCTTTCTAGTTTTTTCTTTATGTCACATGTCTTTGTTCTTTTGGAAATATATATACAAGAAATCATACATTTTTTACTGGGTGTTAGACTGTTTTTAGAATACAGAGTTAGTAAGTCGACGAACCAGTTAGTGGTCTCCTTACTTCTTGTAATTCTTGTACATGTATTTTTCATCATTATTTTAAATATACTACACATAGTGAATTGGCACTTTGCTTAGTTTAGGATACAGAGAGAGTTTTCTTGTCACACTTAACTAGAGAACCCGGGCTGAGCGACTAGTAGAAGTCAGCGAAGAAGTTAAGTGATAACAAGTGGGGGCCTGGCCAAGCTGTTATAATAATTAACAAAGAATTGTTATTTTATTTCAATTATTAGTGTTTCTAGCTATTTGCGAGTAACAGTAGTGTATGCTTACAAGATCAAAGGGGGATTTCAAAAATCTATCAATAGAGTGTTTGATTCTTGGTTCAACTCATTCAAAACCTCCATCTAATCAAAAAATATGTGATTAGATACTAGAGCTACTGCCCTCGGAAACTTTTCGATAGATGTCCTGCCGCTACATCGACGAATTTCGACTGGGACCGTGACCTCTTGAAAATCATTTTTGGTTAAGGTCTAGCTTAGTAGAGCAAACATTTCTGCACACGATAGAATGTACACTTGTTTTCGTTCTATTGATATGCATCTGTTATTTCTTTTCTTACTTGCCTAAGTAATTTTTGTTGCCTAAAAATGTCCTTATACTCCGGTCCCCGAGTCAATTGTTTATACCCATGATTTTAAGGTGCAACTTGTCTTGGCTGCCCTTGCTGTCTTGCATGTTCTTGTATTATTGGATATAGCAATCCCAATTATAATGTAGGATAATAAGAAGCAGGTAAGAAGAGCGAAAAGCCACTAATATTTTGATAATGTAGCTTACTTAATAGCGAAAGGCGGTCCTAACTGTACTGAATACATTCCCCACCAAACAGTCGATATTCCGACAGCTTGGTTTGATTGGTGAGTTGCATTGTACACCTTCATCAACATATTGTGATATGCTAAGCCGACATTAATATTTGGAGTAATAGGGATTCCCACCGAGACTGTGGTTGATCTGAAGTACCTATACAAGAGGGAGAATATATTCCTTCATTTAATAAATATACTGCCTCACTTGCGACTTACTGTTCATAAAACTCTTCATATGATTCTGTGATCGCTTCACAATAATTTTCTTTTCTCATACTAATATCGGTCACCTGTACAACCGCCGGTGTTTGAAATGTTTGAGTTTTGTTCAACGCTTTCAGTACAAATTCTTCACCTAATTCACTGAAATCGAATAGTCGAAACGCTGATTTGTCATTTGGTGATAGCTCAGTGCCTGGAACCATTTTCGAGGCATCGAAACCTGATTTGAGTTGATCCAGTCCAGGAAGATCAGCTGAATATTGCTCTTGTATCATTAGTGAACACACAAATAACAGCCCGTATAGCAGTATCATTGGTCCTATTTCAAATGGTGAACGAACTATGCCTGTGTCTTAAAAGACTTACCGTAAAAGTATTTATGAAGTGATACTTTTATGATTTTCATAGCAATCATGGAGTTTAAATATTCTTTATGAGACAATAGCTGGCTTAAGTATAAAGTAGATGTTTAAGCTTAGTTTTTAAAAGAATATGATCTTATCAAATATTAGCTTTATATCTACCGTTCTCGTAAACTAAACTTATCTTTATGTCAACGGAGAAATTGTGTCGTGCTCTGTACTTGACCTATGTCTGATGGTTGACACGTGCATGCGCCTAATTCAAAAATCGAGCAAAATTTGTTTTTAAACTTATTACACACCATTCGATAGAGTTTTTCGAGCTGTACAAGTATAAAAAAAGGGTTCATAAGCTACCAGGAATACTAAACCATGATATACAGAACTAATGGATGGTTCATACCGCAACCTGGATAAACAAAAAAGACAAATTTTCAATGCCTGGCATGAGATGCCCTGAAGAATATGTCATGCGGACCTGTTCTATATAAAAGTAGCAACGATGGCCCAACAAATAATTAGTAATAATGCGAATCCGAACATCAGATCTTCGTAACTTGAAAAAAACCAAATGCAGAACACGCTACCTTTAGTAGGACAGAAGTTAACAGAAGATGTTGCAGAAACGTGGGAAACTTGTCCTTTTTGTTTATCCAGGTTGCGGTATGAACCATCCATTAGTTCTGTATATCATGGTTTAGTATTCCTGGTAGCTTATGAA